GACCTTCCGAAGCCGCACGTACTTAAGATGGCCCCAGGGGGCCCAAGAGAGCCCCAAGAGGGGTCCAAGATGGCCCCAAGATGGACCCGAGAGCGTCCAAGAGCGCCCCAAGAGCGCCCCAACAGGACCCCAAGAGGCGATTTTGAGAGCTCCAGAGGGGCGAGGGTACTTGCGGACCCCCCCATTCTTTGATAGATATCCTCCAAGATGGTCCCAAGAGGGCCTCCAAGGCCCCCAAGAAAGCCCCAACAGGCGGCCAAGAAACCCCAAGAGGCCTCCAAGAGACCCCCAAGAGGACCCCAAGCGGCCCCAAGAGACCCCCCGAGGCACCCAAGATGCCCCAAGAGCCCCCCGGGACCACCAAGAGACTCCCAACACGTCCCAAAAGGCCTCCAAGAAACGCCCAAGAGATACGCACGTATCCCAAGAGACTCCGAGACTCCGAGGAAGAGGAGGAGGGGGAGAGAGAAGTGGGAAAAACGGGGGAAGCGCTCCAGCCCGAGGTGATCTACGTAGGGGGCTTTCTCTTCCAACCCTCTTCTTCCCTTTCGGTGAGGGGTTTACGCACGCACCCCTCCCCCTACGTACGTACCCCCATCCTCCTTGGCCCTGGACGGGGAGATTTGCGACCGATTGGAGATGGCCCAAAACGGCTCCAAGAGGGTCCTGGAGAGCCCTGGAGAGCCCAAGATGGCCTCCAAGATAACCCGAAGTTATTAATCCAAGATGGCTCAAGATGGCTTCCAAGATGCCCCAGACCGCTCCAAGACGATTCCCTGTGAGCTTGGGGCCTCCCTTGGACGCGCCCAAGACGCCCAAATCCCCTACGTAGCCCTTTTCGACTTTTCGCGTCAAGTATCAGTTCCAACTCCGTCAGACGGAGTTGGACAAGGGTCTCACGGAGTCCCTCCTGGACGCTTCTCTAGGGCCTTCAGAGAGCTCCAGCAGGGCCCCGAGAGGGCCCAGGAGGGCCCCAAGACGGCCCTAAGATGGCTCCAAGAGGGCCCCAAGATGGCTCCAAGATGGTCCTAGCAAGTATCAGTTCCAACTCCGTCAGACGGAGTTGGACAAGGGTCTCACGGAGTCCCTCCTGGACGCTTCTCTAGGGCCCTCAGAAAGCTCCAGCAGGGCCCCGAGAGGGCCCAGGAGGGCCCCAAGACGGGCCTAAGATGGCTCCAAGAGGGCCCCAAGATGGCTCCAAGATGGTCCTAGCAAGTATCAGTTCCAACTCCGTCAGACGGAGTTGGACAAGGGTCTCACGGAGTCCCTCCTGGACGCTTCTCTAGGGCCCTCAGAAAGCTCCAGCAGGGCCCCGAGAGGGCCCAGGAGGGCCCCAAGACGGCCCTAAGATGGCTCCAAGAGGGCCCCAAGATGGCTCCAAGATGGTCCTAGCAAGTATCAGTTCCAACTCCGTCAGACGGAGTTGGACAAGGGTCTCACGGAGTCCCTCCTGGACGCTTCTCTTAGGGCCCTCAGAAAGCTCCAGCAGCAGGGCCCCAGGAGGGCCCCAAGACGGCCCTAAGATGGCTCCAAGAGGGCCCCAAGATGGCTCCAAGATGGTCCTAGCAAGTATCAGTTCCAACTCCGTCAGACGGAGTTGGACAAGGGTCTCACGGAGTCCCTCCTGGACGCTTCTTAGGGCCCTCAGAAAGCTCCAGCAGGGCCCCGAGGGCCCAGAGGCCCCAGGAGGGCCCCAAGCTGGCTCCAAGAGGGCCCCAAGATGGCTCCAAGATGGTCCTAGCAAGTATCAGTTCCAACTCCGTCAGACGGAGCTGGACAAGGGTCTCACGGAGTCCCTCCTGGGCGCTTCTCTAGGGCCCTCAGAAAGCTCCAGCAGGGCCCCGAGAGGGCCCAGGAGGGCCCCAAGACGGCCCTAAGATGGCTCCAAGAGGGCCCCAAGATGGCTCCAAGATGGTCCTAGCAAGTATCAGTTCCAACTCCGTCAGACGGAGTTGGACAAGGGTCTCACGGAGTCCCTCCTGGACGCTTCTCTAGGGCCCTCAGAAAGCTCCAGCAGGGCCCCGAGAGGGCCCAGGAGGGCCCCAAGACGGCCCTAAGATGGCTCCAAGAGGGCCCCAAGATGGCTCCAAGATGGTCCTAGCAAGTATCAGTTCCAACTCCGTCAGACGGAGTTGGACAAGGGTCTCACGGAGTCCCTCCTGGACGCTTCTCTAGGGCCCTCAGAAAGCTCCAGCAGGGCCCCGAGAGGGCCCAGGAGGGCCCCAAGACGGCCCTAAGATGGCTCCAAGAGGGCCTCAAGATGGCTCCACGATGGTCCTAGTAGGTATCAGTTGCCCGCACGAGGGCTCCCAGATTCCAGAACCCTCCCCAGATCCCAGAACCCTCCCAGAACCCCCCCAGAACCCTCTCCCTCCAAGAAAACTTCATGGAGCCTCGAAAGGCTCCCAAGAGATCTCCTAGAAATCTCTTCTCTCCTAGAAATCTCTTCTCTTCTCTCCTCATTATCATCATACGTCTCTCATCCCTCCTCAGGAGAACAAGCATTGTCCTCCTCCTCATAATCATCCTCATCAGCCTCCTCATCATCAGCATGATCCCTCTCTTGGACTTGGACTTGGACTACGGCTCAAAGTCTACCGAGATTAGCCGGCGATGAGACTAAACATGCACACCTAATCTACCAACGAACTGCCAACGCGGCGGCCGCATGATCCCTCTCCCTGCCATCATCATCCCTCCCCCAGCCCCGAAAGGACATACACGCTAAGTACCACCACTAAGGATACACGCTAAGTGCGGAACACTTAGCGTGTATGGGCGTCTCCCCAAAGACACGCTATATATCGGACCTTGACCGTATGGTAAACTTGAACATTCGACAAAATCATGCCGCAACTCTTGTCTGCGTGCGAGAGCGTATCCCTCAGAGTGAACAGATGGCACGCGTCGTATGTCCACCTCAGAGCTTGCCTTCCTTAAGCTCATTCTTCGCTGCGGCTTCACACCGTCAAAAGCCATCATCGCTGTCATAATGCTGAGCCTGCCCCAATGTCAATATCCCCCACTTTGGAGCAATAAAGCTCTCGACCGGATCGTCAGGATCGAACGCGATCTCGACTAAGCTGGCGTGCATCTTGCGGCGCAGGACCCTCGTGAGCGGCACAGAACGACGTCCGCAGAACACAAGGTCACCTGCTACCAAGGTGCCTGCATACTTGAAATCGCCAGGCTCACCAAGGTCGTTTGGAATCACAACTCTGTGCGCCGCAGTGACGGTGAGATTCGATTCCCGCGTCCGGAGTTCAATAACCTCGCATAAGGACGCATCGCGGATGCGAATCGAAAAAATCCACTGACTCATTGGGCACCGGCGTGCTAGATGTCTGCCCCATCCCAGTACCTTCCCTGGGGGGTCGAACTGAGCGATGGGGGGGGGGGGGCTGGGTTCCCGAAAGGGAGGGAGGGAGCGCGCTGGAGCAATCTGGCGTGGCAAGACAGGCACACTACTACGGCCCAAGAAGGCACAAAATGCCACCAAGACGGCCCAAGAGGGCCACCGGAGGCCGCCAGCACGGTCTAGGACAGACCTCCAAGAGGGTTCAAGGATTATCAAGGAGCCCCAGAAGCGAGAAGGCTCAACAAAGGTCCCAGACGGCCAAAACTATTGAAAAACAATACGTCATTAATGGTTTTCGCATTCCATGCTTTCTGGCGTAAGCCTCTTCAAGCGGACTGGAATGAAAGGGCCCCGAGATGGCCGAGGAGGGCCCAAAGAAGCGCCCGGCAGCACACCACGATCCTCAAAGGGCCCCGAGACGGCCCAAAAAAAGCCAGCAGAAAGGCCAAAGCCGAGAGAGCCCCAAGATAACACAAGACTGCCTCGCGACGGCTCATAGACAGCTCAGGACCCTAGCAAGCGGGCCAGGCGGTGTCCAAGCGGCCCCAAAGACCCCAAGAGGCGGACGAGAGGCCAAGGGGAGGCGTCAACAGAGCCCAAGAGAGGCCCCGAAAATATATCGAAAAGAACCGCATGAGTGTCGAGAAAAAAAAAACTCGCACGAGTGCTTTTGATTATTGTGTTAAGGACCTCGGCCCACGATGGCTTCAGAAAGTTCACGATGGCCCCTGAGCGGCCTAAGAGGGGCCTTAAGTGAGAGTTTCAAGGATGTCCCATAAAAGCACTGGGACGGGACCCAGACGACCCAAGACCGCCCGAGGACGTCCCAGGACTGCCCCCACGACAATTGCCCGGGACGGCATAAGAGGGCCCCAGCAAGCGGCCATGCAGCCCAAGAAGCCCTGAGACCTGTCGAAGTGGCCCTGGGGGGCCCCGAGAGGCGCACGAGATGCCCCAAGGAAGACACCAACTGAGCCTAAGAGAGGCCACATACTAGCAAAAATCAACGAAGAACATGCGCATTTGTTGTTTCTGGCTTTTCATGTTTTTCGGCCGAGGTCTGCTGTCTCAGGAGGCTCCCGAACCCCCCAAGGGATCCCGAAGAGAGTCTCAACTCAGCCTGTAGGAGGGACCCTGGAGGGCGCCAAGAGGTCCAAGATGGCTCTGGAGAATCTCAAGAGGCCTCAAGACAGACCCTGGAGAGCCCAACCAGGAGGACCCCACGACGGCCGAAGGGGACCTCAGGGGGGTCACCAGAAAGCACGATAAATCCCCAGGGCGCTTCCCAAGCGGCCCAAGAGGCCCTAGCGGCGCAAGGGTCACCAAGAGACCTCGAATATCATCCAACAGGCCCCAAAAGCGCCTCCCGAGACCCCGCAAGACTGCCCCGAGAGGTTCCAAAGGTGTTGCGAGACCCTCCAGCAGCAACAACAACACCAGCAGGAGAGCAACAGCAGAGTAAGCAACAGCGACTAGCAACAAGCAGCAAGCATTAGCAGAGAGGTAACAGCATCATGCAGTATCAACAATCAACAACATCGAGCAGGAACAACAAGCAGCAGCAAACAAGCAGCAGCAATAGGCAGCAGTTCGTAGCAGCAACACTCCAGCAACACGTAGCAGCAAACAACAGCGAGCAGCAGCGAGCAGCAGCGAGCCGCAGAGAGCAGCGGGAGCGTGGGACATAGATAGGGAGGGAGGGAGGGAGGGAGGGAAAGGAAAGGAAAGGGGTGGGGATGAGAGGGGCGAGGAGGGGAGGCGGAGGAGGGAGAGGATGAGGAGGAAAAGGATGCGGAGGTGGACGACGCCGAAAAGACCCTCCCGAAATACATACAACGAGCGATCGGAATGAAGTGATCGGCGGATGTGGCGTGAGACTATTGAACTTTGATCGGCGTACCAAATGCATTGAGAACGGAGTCACCTTCAGTCAAAGATTCAATTGCAGCTGAACTTGATTCTGATGTCCAGACCATTGTACGCGGCAAGAAGCACCGACTTTCTAGGGAGCCTCCTGGACGAAATATTGTATTCAGTAGGGCTCCCAACGCCTCAGTCAAGATTATGAACGCTGGTGACTGGAGATCCGATGGAGGTTCGTCTTCGAACACACCAGAGGAAATATTCTCCTTCAGGCGATTCAGCCGGGTCTCCCTGGAAGTGATTTCTGAATTAATCATGACGCCTTGCCACACTGCATTCAGTCCGCATACAGCGACGAGAGCCTTGTAAGACCCACGGAGAGTCTCGATTTCCTTCTCGAGGTACCAGACATGTGCAAAAAGACGTCGCTCGGAAAAACTCGCGGTCATTTCACGAGTGGACGCTGGCATCAAGTAGTGCAAGTCAGTGAGAGCCATTCCCCTGTTGGTGATTCCACAAGTGGTCCAAGTGCAGTCATCCATCTGAAGGCGCAACGCCCACGTATTTTCACGATCTGGTTCATAATGAAGACAGAGAGTAGCAGCCAGCTTGGAACGAATACTGATAATCTCACCACGCGTCAAGACACGAACGACAGGACTGTTCAAAGAACAGCCTGCATGGACATCGAGCTTCTCTACGCACACAACGTAATGTTCTGAATATGATGTCAGATGGTGAATGGAAGCCATAGGCAAGCACCTCCCAGCACGACCGGCATCAGAGGGCCCAGCATCGAGGCGAACAGTGAGCGGTGAAAAGATTTGCCGGCAATCCACCCAGGTCCCGTCGATGAGTTTCATGGCACCAGGCGTTCCCTGCCCACCCCACCAAGTCCTCTGCCAACCACCAGGTTCCCAAATCACCTGAGCTGATTGGATTTCTTCTCCCACTTCCAAGGTCCGAATCTTTTTACTGTCCGGGCCCAAACCATCACGTGCAGAAACTGGGTGAACGCAGAAATCCGCCACCGCGCTGTGCCGCGGTTTGTACGTGTGTGCGTGTGCCCTCATTGCGTCACCCCTCTGCATCACCGCCCTCCCTTGGCCATTTTGGCCCCCGCTCGGCTGCCCCCCCGAGTGGGATGGCTGGAGCGCAGCGGGGTGCCACCCCCGCCTGCGTTCGCTGTCGGTGAGCTCCCCTATGGGGTTGAGCCCACATCTGCGTTGGAGTTCCCCTGACGAGTGAGCCGGACCATCGCAGGCCACCCGGCCAAGATGTGATGGCGCTGCGCAGTCCGGGGGGCTCGGCAGCTAGAGCCCTTGGTCTCTGCGGTCTATGGACGGTGCGTTGCTTGCGCACGCCGTTGCGGAGGAGAAAGTGTGCGTGTGCTGGGGCTTATGTTTCTCTTAATTTGGCCCCTTGCGGAGCAAGAGATAGGGACGCCTAAGCAAGCAATGCTTTCCCTTCTGCGGCAATTTGAGGCGGCGGCGCTTCATGCCCTGCGCCATAGTCTCCCCCCGCCCCCCGTCCCCCTAGCGCGGTGATAGATATACGCGGCAGCGCAGATGGATATGCGCGGCAACACTTATCGGCGAACAACATATCCCAGCCAGCGGAAATGCTTTTGCTGAAGCGCTGAATGTCCTTGATCGAACCAGATACCAACTCGTAACTGATTTGGGCTGCCACTTTGACGACACGCCACGTGAAGCCCATCGCTAGATTCAACAGTCCCGTTGCAACGCATGCTGCTGCATCACGCAAGGCTTGAGTCATTGCCTTCTTCAAAATCCGCCACCGTGCCCTTGGCACGAAGTGGAGTGCCCCAAGGCTCATGCAGCCGCGAGAGGTCCAGAATTGTAGTTTCTTAGGGGCCCGCACCCCCAGATTCCCGGGCGCGGCCGGGCGCTCTCGGGCCCCCCAGGAAGCCCCAAGAGGCCCCAAGAGGCCCCCAAGAGGCCCAAAAGCGGCCCCCAAGAGCCCCACAAGAGGCCCACAAGAGGCCCCAAGAGGCTCCAAAACGGCCCCCAAGACGCCTCAAAACTGCTTCCAAGAGGCTCCCGAGAGACCTACCACGAGATCCCAGCGAACACTCCAGAGCCCTCTGACCCACAGCCCAGGTACGGTGGCGGGATGGGCCGAAGGCCAGTAGATCCGCCGCCCCCTGCTTGCAGGGGTGCACGGCGTGCTGGATGTTTCAGGTTTTGGTTTTGGTTCTTTTTCTAAAAGAACTCCCCAATGGGCTTCGGCCCGTCCCGCCGGCCACCCGTAATTTTCCCAAAATCCGTCTGTCAATGCCTTTGTTGCCCCAACTTGGCCCAAGATGGCCTCCAAGACGGCCAAGATGGCCCAAGATGGCCTCCAAGATGCCTCCCAGACGGCCAAGATGGCCTCCAAGACGGGTAAGATGGCTCCAAGATGCCTCCAAGACGGCCCAAGATGCCCTCCAAGACGGCCAAGATGGCCCCAAGATGCCTCCAAGATGGCCCAAGAGGCCTCCAAGACGTTCTCCAGGAGAGCCCGAAGAGGCCAAAATCATTGGTTTTCCTTAGGTTTTTGAAGGTTTTTTGCGTTTTCTTCTTTTCGGCCTTCCGACGGCCCAAGAGGCCCCCAAGATCGCCCAAGAGGCCTCCAAGAAGGCCCTATGACGGCCCAAGGGCCCCCCAAGACGGCCCCAAGAGCGCCCCAAGACGGCCCAAGAGGCCTCCAAGACGCCCAACATGGCCTCCAAGACGGCCCTGAAGCGCCCCAAGAGGGCCCCAAGACGGCCCAGAGAGGCCCCCAAGACGGCTCCAGACGGCGTCAGACGGACCAGGAACGCCCTAAGACGGCCAAAGAGACCCCCAGGAAGCCCCCAAAGGCCCCCAAGAGGCCCAAGGAGGCCCCCAAGATGCCTCCAAGAGGCCTCGAAGAGGCCCCCAAGAAGCCCCCAACAGACCCCAAGGGTGCCCCAAGAGACTCCTAACAACCCTCATCCTCCTACTCTATTTTTTCCTCTTCCTCTTCCTGTTCATAATCAGTATCTCCCATGTGTTCCCCGAAAGCTTTCCAAACCGACTCGGGGAACTCATGGTCCGATAGCTTGGCCAAGCTCTAGTCCAACTTTCGGCCACATCGGCGTTTCCAAAAAGGCAGGGGGCGGCGGTGATTCGCCGTAGGCGTCTTAGATACACAGTGAAGCTGGCAAGGTGAGAGCAACCCTTGGTCAGGACAACGGCTTGACAACGTTCATGATGATTCAAAGATCAAGGCTTGATAATGATGCTAATGATCACACATGACTTCGCACAAATGTTCTCGCTATGAGTGGCACGCTGAACATACTTGGCTGCTCATCATCGTTGACGTCCTCCTGTCCTCGGTTCCTCATCCTTCTTCTTTTGCTTCTCCTCCTCCTCCTCATTCTCCTCCTCATCCCATTCTCCCTGTCCAACTCCGCTTACTCACCATATCGCACATTCCCACCAGCCCTCTGGGCGTAGGTGGTCTAGGGCATTTCCTCTTCCAACCCCCTTCTTCCCCTTCGGACCCCCTCCCCTGGACCTGGACGGGAGGGGCCGCGAGCGGTTAGAGCGCCCAAGATGGCCCAAGATGGCGCCAAGAGGGCCTCGGAGAGCCCAAGATGACCTCCAAGATGGCTGAAGATAGCCCAAGATGCCTCAAGATGGCTCCCAAGATGCGCCAAGAAGCCCCAAGAACGCTCCAGGACGGCTCCAAGAGGTCTCCGAGGCATGCAAGGAGGCCCTCAAGAGGCCAACAACCTTCCAAAACCTAAAGAAAACCAATGATGTGTGCCTTCTCGCCTTTTCGCTACCGATGGCTTTCCGAGGCCTCAGGATGGCTCCAAGATGGCCCAAGAGGGCCCCAAGAGAGGCCCAAGAGAGCCCCAAGAGGGCCCCAAGAGCATCCAAGAGCGCCCCCAGAGCGCTGCAAGAGCTGCACGCGGCAAATGACGTACCCCCTCCTGTCCCCTTCACCCCTTTGTCGTCCGTCACAGTAAGCAGGAGGCCTCCTTAATGGGGTCGGAGAAACATGGGGTCGGAGGATCGTGCTGCACCGGCGATGCATCGGCGATGCATCGGCGATGCACCGGCGATGCACCGGCGATGCACCGGCGATGCATCGGCGATGCACTGGCGACGTCGGCGCTGCATCGGGGACGTCGGTGTCGAGAAAGTTGAGCCCCATATCGACCCGCATCGCCGATGCATCGCCGAGACATCGGCGACCCGCCAGGATCCCCCGACCCCATCTGCTCGGACCCCATCTAGGAGGCCTAGATAAGATCAGGTCGGACGAAGACGGGGACACTGTCAATGGTGAAGTGGTTGGGGACGGAGGTGGTTTGCTGGTGCTGCTTCTTCGCAGCAGCGCCGTCCTTAGACGCTCTGTCCCAGATTGTTTGTTTGGTGCTGCGCACGTGGCGCCAGGCAAGCGCGCAGCAGGGGATGCTTACCCTGTGTCCCGATCCCCCGCCACGGAGGCGGCTCTGTGGCGGCGCCTCCATGCACACCACGGTCCAAAGCATGCACACTGCGGTCCAGAGCGTGAAAATCGATTCGCTTCGATCCCCCCTCGCTCCACCTGCGTGGGCAGGAGAGGCTCACGCAGCCGACAGTTCTGCGGCGCTGGGAGGCGCGGTAGGAGGCGCCAGCGTCTCGAGGAGCCCGCGCCGGGCGGCGGGGCCGAGAGCAGCTGCGAGCAGCAGAGGGCGTGACCCTTCGGTGGCAATCCGTGGGAGCCTCCAATGCCATCCTGTCGGCTCCTGCGAATCGACGCCAGTGGACGCTAAATCGACGCTGAATCGACGCGCCAATCGACGGCAATCGACGCGACGCGACGCTAGATCGGCGCCACCTCATCGACTCCCAGACGCCAATCGACGCTAGTCAGCGCTAAAGACAGAATTGAGATGGTATACCGGGCTCCCATGATTTGCTACCGTGCGTATTCCCCCCCCGTCCCTAACACCACCTTTTCGTCCGTCACGGTGAGACCAAGGTCCAAAAGAAAGCAGTGAGGCACGAGCGTCACGCGTAGCGAGCCGGGCTACATAATCAAAGGGGTCCGTGGCCTTGCATTTGCCCTTCTCATGTAGTCTAGGCCAGGGCCCGCGTGGGAGGTCCCCGGGAGCCCGAGAGAAATGAAACCAAAAGCCACCAGGGAATGGGGATTCCCCGCTGCAATGTCTCGGCGGAGAACAGCGGGTCATGCCCAGAAGCCGCTAAGAGGACCTCCACCCCCGCATCCACCTCTTCCTCCTCCTCACTCTCTTCCTTATCCTCCTCGTCCTCATCCGTCAAATCCTGCTGATGCGGTTCTGCCACAGTATATGACTACCACCACCAAGATCGAGAATAATCTACGATGCGATTTGGTGCAATTTTGGTATGGTGAAATTCCCGCAGTCCCCCTGCCACCGCCAACAAGGACCGAAACAGAATTCATCAAAGCACGCGCGGTGGTGTATAAAGTGTTGGTTACCAAGAGGAGCGATTCTTATACACCACCACCAAGAAGTGCTGTTTCTGCTTCAGGAGTTCCCCATGCCACGGCGCCTGCGAGCTGCGCCGCGCTCCTTTTCGCCGTGGCGTCGCAGCGTCGTCTGGCATGACCCTGCCCCTAGCCCTTTTTGCGGTAGATTACTGTTTCGGGCGGTGGTGGTATAAAAATTGGCCTACTCTCCTCTACCCCCCCACATCTCAACTTTGTCCTCCTCATCCTCCTTCTCCTCCTTCGCCGTCTCCACCTAGCCATCAGTCTTCCCATCGTACCATTGGTTTGCCTCCACCTCTGCCACCTGCAACTGACCTCCTCCTGCACATCCAACTCCACACCACCCTCCTCGTCTTCGGTCTTCGGTCTGCTGCGGTTGCGCTTGCGGTGGCGCCCGCGGGCGGCCCAGCATGCGCCCGCGGGCGGACGAAATGTGCCGCTCAGTTGCGGCTGAGCTTGCGCGAGCGGGCGCCCACAAATGTACTGCAGCGTTCGGCTGCGGTTGCGCTTGCGATTGCGGCTGCATCCGCGGGCGGCTCAAAAGGTGCACTTCGAGCTGCCCCCTCGGATCAATCAGCTCAGTCAGCGCGGTCAATTCAGGCAGCTTTGTCAGCTGAGTCTGTCAGCTCCGGCTGGAAATTAACTCAGGTTTGCAGGTTAGTGTCGTGGCCGAGGCGTCGGCGGACGGCCGAAGCAATTTGCGCCTCACGTCAAGAGAAGGAGGAGGAGGAGGAGGAGGAGGAGGAGGAGGAGGAGGAGGGAGGAGGAGGAGGAGGAGGGCGGAGGAGGAGGAGGAGGAGGAGGATGAGGAGGAGGAGGAGGAGGAGGAGGAGGGAGGAGGGAGGAGGGAGAAGGGAGGAGGGAGAGGAGGGCGCGGAATTGCACCCGGCTCCGCCAGGAAAAACTCTGCAGGCCCGTTCCCCTCGGGGGTCTTTTTGCCTCGGAGGGGGGGGCAGAGAGGCGAGGGCGGAGGGACAGCGTGCCGCTACTCCTCGAGGGCCCTTCGAGGAAGGACCCTTCGACCCTCGAGCATTGCGGGAGGACCTCCCACCTTCCTCCCCCTCAAATAGAGGATAAGCCTGCATAGACATGCTTCATCGGAGGTCCGCGCGGATTTCTTGGATCGGCCCTGGACCCCCCTCCCTGGGGGCGGCCTCGGAGGCGCCGCCACGGGGGCCCAGCGCCGATCTAGGAAATCCGTGCGGGCCTCGGAGGAATTATGAGTTATACATGTTCTTGTTTTTCGATCCTCCGCGTCCTCCTCCTCCTCCTCCTCGCCCTCCTCCTCCTCCTGCTTCTCCTCCTCCTCCTCCTCCTCCTCATCCTCCTCCTCCTCCTCCTCCTCCTCCTCCTCCTCCTCCTCCTGCTCCTTCGGGCGCGGCCTACCGGACCCTACCATGGCCAGCACCTTCGGTGACGTTATCCTCGCCTTCCAAGCTCAAATCCAGCCGCATACCTGCGTCTTGAGCCGAGGCGAGAGGAACGCTACGAAAGAAGATGGCTTGCTGGAGATCGGCCAGGCCGCCCCCGACTCCTCCTCCTGCTCCTCCTCCTCCTCCGCCTCCTCTCCTCCCCTCCTCGCCCCCCTCCTCCCTCCCCCTCCCCCTCCCCTCCTCCTCCTCCTCCTCTCCTCCTCCTCCTCCCTCCTCCTCCTTCCTCCTCCTCCTCCCCTCCTCCTCCTCCTCCTCCTCCTCCTCCTCCTCCTCCTCCTCCTCCTCCTCCTCCTCCTCCTCCTCCTCCTCCTCCTCCTCCTCCTCCTCCTCCTCCTCCTCCTCCTCCTCCTCCCCGTCGAGCAGAGGCCCTGCCTCTCTCCTCGAGGGCCTCGAGAGGGAGGAGCACGGGCACTCGGGCGCTCCGCCATGCTCTGCCTCGGCTAGGAGCGCCCAGTGGGGCCCGCGGCGCCCCGGCCAGCGGAGAGAGGGGCAGCGGGCAACGGGGGGCGCGGGCTGCGCACGAGCTTCCGCGAAGGGTCTCCACGCGGCTTGTGGCCTCTGGGAAGGCGGGCTGGTACTCCTGGCGCCCCGGGTCGCCCTCATGCTCCGCCTGCTCGCCCTCCTCCTCCTCCTCCTCCTCCTCCTCCTCCTCCTCGCCCTCCCTCTCCTCCTCCTCGCCCTCCTCGCCCTCCTTCTCCTCCTCTTCCTCCTCCTCCTCCTCCCTCCTCCTCCTCCTCCTCGCCCTCCTCCCCCTCCTCCCTCCCCTCCTCCTCGCTCCTCCTCCTCCTCGCCTCCTCCTCCTCGCCTCTCTCCTCGCCCTCCCTCCCCTCCTCCTCCTCGCCCTCCTCATCCTCCTCGCCCTCATATTCCTCCTCCTCCTCGGCCCTCCTCCTCCTCCTCCTCTCCTCCTCCTCCTCCTCCTCCTCCTCCTCGCCCTCCTCCCCTCCTCCTCCTCCCCTCTCCTCCTCCCTCCCCTCCTCTCCTCCTCCTCCTCGCCCTCCTCCTGATCCCCTCCTCCTCCTCTCCTCCTCCTCCTCCTGCTCCTCCTGCTCCTCCTCCTCTCTCCTCCTCCTCCTCCTCCTCCTCCTCCTCCTCCTCCTCCTCCTCCTCCTCCTCCTCTCTCCTCCTCCCTCCTCCTCCTCCTCCTCCTCCTCCTCCTCCTCGCCCTCCTCCTCCTCCTCCTCCTCCTCCTCCTCCTCCTCTCCTCCTCCCTCCTCCTCCTCTCCTCCTCCTCCTCCTCCTCCTCCTCCTCCTCCTCCTCGCCCTCCTCCTCCTTCTCCTCCTCCTCCTCCTCGCTCTCCTCGCTCTCCTCGCCCTTACCCTCACCCTCTCCGTACGCCCCCCCGCACCCCGTGGGCCTGGGATGCTGGCACAGAAAGACTGCACCGGCATGACCTTCCGAAGATCCCCGCGCGGATGT